TTTAATCAAGTTAAAATTTGTGTATATTTCCTTAGATGTTACATCTTTGTCTTGCCCTTTTCTTTTTCTTGTTTCATGTAGATGCACCAGGTAGGACCATCTGCTTATCTTAAATTTTAGAAAATATTTTCAGTGTGTGGATTTACTGAATGTAATTCATTTTGCCATAAAACTTAAATGGCTGGAATTGTTCTATTCATTAATTACCTGTCAATTCACCTAGGTGTATATTAATCCATTTATAATAGAAAAAACGTAAAAAAAAGAATTAGAAGCATGTTTTCCAATATAAGCAAGTAGTTTAGCTTTTCCACAGCATGAATTGTAACTGTTGAAATCAACAAATGTTGCAATTAGTATTCCATATTTAGACATCTTATTGAGATACTACAAGAAGAAAACATATACAAAGTAAGTGTAGTAATATCTCCACCAGCTAGACTCTCACTGATTAAACACACTAAAATGTAGACTACATTTAATACAGTGAATAATATTTTTCTTTGGAAAGCAAAGCACCAAAATTATCATTCTAGGTATTATAAATAGAGAATTTAGAACTTACTGTCTTTTTTGGGAAACAGACATGAATATATCTAGCTTCAATTATTAGATATATGAAGAATTCCTAAATTGCTAAAGCTGGTAACTGCTAAAGCTGTCACCAAATTCTGCAGAAAAACAGTGAAACAGACCAACAAAAGAGTGAAGGAAAACAAAATTATAATCCAAGATTATGTCCCAAATGGTCTGCTTAAATCATCAATTGGGTAAGGGTTCAGAGTCTGCCTTTACACATGTTCCCACACATTTATTTTCATTTTGAGAGATTAAGCCTAGGGTACAGGCATGACTCTGGGGTATGGTATGCAATAGAATTAAAGGTTGTGAGAAGAGAGTTGACCAGGATGTATAATGTTGAGAGCTTCAGCCTACAAAGGAGTCCTAGCTAAGAACTACAATTTTTTATTTAAAAATATGCTTCAAAATTACCAAAATACTATTTCATTTCTACAGATGTAAAATTGGAAAATGACTCTCAGAGGCATGTAGAACTTACAAGTGTATAGAAATATGTAATCAATTTCATTACATTAACTATGAAATTGTAACTAACTTATTTTTAAAACGAATGGTTTAAACATAATAGTACTTCTAGATGAAGCTATTTTTTTTAAAGCCCCAATTATTGAGACATGTGTCAAGAAAAATTACTCTCACGGTGAAAGCTGATTCAGGACCTTATTTTTATTAAGTAGTTTATAGTGAAGGTTGTGACTGTTTTTCTATTTATAGTGGCAGCTCTGGTTAATTACCTTGTAATGTATTGTGACATTAATGCACTAGTAAACTATTGGAATTTACACCCCTATTCAGTAGTAAAATCTGTAAATTGAAGAATGCACATAAAGTCACCACAGGCATAAATTTTGTGGCCAAATGCCTTATATGATCACATTAGATGTAAAGAACAGAATCATCAAATTTGCTCATTAGTGGGTAAGTTCCACCAAATTTATACACAATAGCCACTTTACAATCATAGTGTGTACAACACTATATTCAAGGGTACTTTGTGACTTGCTACTGAATTTTTTATACTAAGTGTATATTAGGTATAATCCTAATGTACACTACCAAAAAGGAAAGCTGAGATGACAAACAGATGCAACAATATCATAAAATACTTTTTCTGTAAGCAAACAAACAAACAAACAAAACCCAGTGGCAATGACAGAAGGTGGGATAATGAGACTGGATTAAACCTCAAATGACTCAGGTGGAAGGACACAAAAAAAGGAGAATGAACTGTGAAGTGTGTGCATGTGTGTGTGCATGCACACACACACACACACACATACACACACACACACACACACAGAGGTTTTGAAAATATAAAGTATCAAGTAACAAAAGACATACAAAACTTGAATAAAAGAATCTGAATAAGTTTTCCTTGTTAGTATATGCTAGTTTATATTTACTATGGAAAAGTACCCTCAGCTAATCTTGTTAACTACACCTCCATATTTTAAACAGTTTTGTTTTAGATTGACAGGCTGATAAATACCAGAATATTTAGTATGATTTTCTTGTAAGAATATTACTAAGTTCAAAACATGAGAATAAAAGAATATATAAAAGAATAATTCCTGAAATAATAGTATGTATGACGATTAGTAAAAATGGCAAAATCTAAACTCTTAGTCATTCTTATCTGTCTGTCTATCTATCTATCTATCTATCTATCTATCTATCTATCTATCTATCTATCTATCTATCTATCTATCTATCTATCCATCTATCTTCTCTATTTAACTGTCTAGCTGACTAGCTACCCATCTTCTGTCTATCATCAATGAATTCTTTGAGGTATGCTATATGGTAGATATTACAAAGTGCTGCCATGGACACACTCCCCATTTCCTTGTCATCTTTACTCTGAAGTAGTGAAGCTACAGCCCCATACCTGTCTGCCATCATCCAATGAGCACAGACCAATGACTGTGGAAGAAATATTTATTCTGAGTATCTCTGTCCTTGAGGATAAAAGAGAAATGTGTATTCTGCAAAGTAAATCACAGTGTTTGAGGTACAAGAGCTGAGAGGAACACAGCACACTGGGGACATGAGGGACTCACACAGAAGTCCTCCCTAGGACACAGGAAGGAAGGCAATGAAAGGAATTGAAGACAACCCTGGGCCTTGACAACACTGGAGGAAACTTGCAGGATGGGCTGGAGGTCAGAGTTATGAAGTCATTGCTATTTTTGAAATAATAAGAAAATGAAACTGAAAACTTAAAAAAAAAAAAAACCTTGAAATACTTGGTATTTATCAAACCGGAAGACATGACTACATTGTATTACCTTTGAATTCTGTCAATGAAACAGTTTGAAAATCATGAGTAGGCTTTTTGTTTTTGATTTTTTTACAGTACAAATTAAGTTTTTTTTAGTACAGTTGGTGTACTGAGGTTACACTTATATAAGTGAGGGAATGAGTACAATTCTTGTCAAATATTGTTCCCTCCTTCCCCATCTTCTCTCCCTACAACTCCCCTAAATCCATACCAAGCTGTAAAGTTTATTTCCAGCATCATGTCTTGTAAGTATCCCTGTCGCATTGATTCTCCTTTTGTTCTTTGTCTCGCCATGTCTAATTCCCCTTCACATCCTCAAATCAGTTAAACTTACATACAAGAAAAAGAGTACCAAAATCAAACACAGTGACCAAAGGGGATAAACCAAGGAGAAAAAGAAGGAAAGAAAACAAAGAACTGTAAACAACTGAGGATCTCATACTATGAATCAAGCATGTTTCCAGCCTGGTAGGGAAGAATACTGTCAAGTATTCATTGTATATGTCACAAAACTAAGAAAAGTAAGGGAAGGAATGAGTTGAAGGAGTGGGGATGAGAATATTAAGGGGATGAAACTTATCAAGATGTGCTGTCTTCATAAACTGCATTGTTATATGGTACCTCCTTCATAAAACTACTTTAAGATGATAAAATTAATAATAAATAACAATCTCTGTATGTATACATTAAGTTAATAAATGTTACCTATCAGTTTCTCTCTCTCTCTCTCTCTCTCTCTCTGAGTCTCATCTTTATTGTGAAAATACCATACACAGAGGTTACAATTACATGGGCAAGATAATGAGTGCATTTCTTATCAAGCATTGTTGCCTCCTCCATTGTTTCCCCTTCCTATCCCTTCCAATCCCTTCCCATCTCCCCCTCCCCACTCGCCTCAGAATTGTAAAGTTCATTTTCAACATAACATCTTCTGTTGCAATAGTCCACCTGTATCCCTATTTAAAATTTTTGTTTTTTCCCTTCCCCTCCACAAATTATACCAATCTCAAATACAGTGAGAACAGGGGTTATACCGTGAGGGAGGGACATACAAAGCAACAAAGAAATATCTTATAAATATGTTAGGGACAATAGCAAGCAAGAAAAAAACATTTGCTTCCTTATCTTGGGGTTCATTTTGCTTAACATCAATTTATCTGACTATTTCTGCTTCCCCACAAAAAATAAAATACCTAGGAATTAACCAATGAAGTGAAGGACCTCTATGATGAAAACTTTAAAACTCTGAAAAAGGAAATCAAAACAGAACTTAGAAAGTAGAAAAACCTCCCTTTATCCTGGATTGGAAGGATCAGCATCATGAAATTGGCAATACTTCCCAAAGCTATCTACAAATTCAATGCAATACCAACCTCATTCTTCAAGGAAATAGAAGAGGCAATCCAAACATTCATATGGAACAATAAAGACCCCGAATAGCAAAAATGATCCTTAACAGAAAAAACAGTGCTGGAGGAATATCAATACAAATTTCAAACTCTACTGCAAGGCCATAGTTATCAAAACAGCTTGGTACTGGCACAAGAAGAGACCTCAGGACCAATGGAATAGAATTGAAAACCCAGAAATGTACCTTCCAGTTTTTATTTAGTATGTTTATTTTTTTCAATATTGAAATGAAATAAGTATCAATTTAAAAAATAGTTGGTATGACTTTAAAGAAAAATGATTGCATTAATATTAAAATGACTTTTGAAAAGAATAAGAGAATACTAATTTCCAAGGCTAAAATAATACAACATTCACTGAGAAATGGTAAGGAAAAAACAAAATAGAAGAGTGAAGGAGAATGGTTCTGTGGTTTATTTGTGTAATACTGAGCTACCTGGTAGAATGTAGAAGCAGGAGAATGAAAAATTCAAAGCCAGACCCAGAAAGAGATAGAGAGAGAGAGAGAGACCTTTCTCAAAAACAAAGAACATAGTTAAAATGGTAGTAATGCATTTAATACAAATGAGGCCCTGGGTTCAAGTCCCACTGCAATAAATAAATAAATAAATAAATAAACAAATACATACATACATACATACATTACATACATACATAACCACACATGATTTAAGTACCCTCACTCAATCTCAATTTGTTTCTTTTCTTTATATAAAGCATTACTCACCTCTCACAGGGGGTCTTTCTAGCTCAGAGTCCAGGTGAATTGGTGGGGAGATGTAAGAAACTTGTCCATGATGTGCCTGTCCTGTGGAGACACACCAAAAAAATTATATTTATATATATATATATACATATATATATGAAGAAAGCATTGCAGCAACATCTTTTTATATCTTTTGGTTTAATGATGTCATATTATCTTACTTCATATTGCTTTAATAGCTAAAATATGGACAAATATGTCCAATCATAAACACAAAACGTTCCATTCAAACATCACCTAATTAGGTCAGTGCTTTCTCTAATCACAGTTTTAAATTTTCTTTCAGGTTTAAGTTATAAAATAACTATGTGTTTTATTTTCCATAACTATATGGAACCAGCCTAGATGCCCCTCAGTAGATGAATGAATCAAGAAAATGTGATATATATGTATGCATATACATATATATATATACATATATATATATACATATATATATATATATATACATATATATATATATACACATATATATATATATATATATATTCTATGCTTCCATCAAAAAGAATGACACCATCTTATTTGTAAGGAAATGGAAGGACTTGGGAAAATCATACAAACTGAAGTAAGCCAGACCCAGAGAAACATAGGTCCCATGGTTTCCCTTAATTGTAGTAATTAGTTTAGATCTAGGATGATCTTAGCAGACGAGCAGAATAGCTCAATAGCTATGTACATACAACCATATGAGATTATGCTAAGTAAAATGAATTCCAAGACATGGGCACAAGAGATTTTTCTTTGTTGTTGTTCTCAATGTACTACGTGTTTTATTTTGAGTGTGTGTGTGTGTGTGTTTCCCCTATGGTATCCCCTGTTGTTACTGTATTTGATTCTGGTACCCTGGATATGGTATATACCTTTATCTGAACTAGGGAAGGGAAAACAAAACAATGGTGACAAAGGACAAAAGGAGAATCTATACAGCCAGCAGCGATGCTCACAAGACAATATGTTGAAAATGATCTGTAAAATTTGGGGGGGGGGATAGGGGGAAGGAAAGAGGGAGTAAAATGAGGGAGGGGGTAGCAAGTTAGACAAGAATGTGATCACTACCTTACTTATGTAACCCTCTCTACATCACTTTGACAATAAAATTAAAATTTAAAAAAAATAGTAAAATGGTTGGCCTTGGGTTTGATCTTCAACAACAACAACCAAAAAGCCAACTATAAACCAATGGTTTTATGGGGGAAAAAAGAAAGAAAGAGAAGATCTCAAAGACATACAGATACACTGCTTTTTATTGTTAAACAGACATTTCTCTGTGTCTAGTGTTTGGAAGTATTCTCACATATTATGTATTATGTATTTTATATTATATATTACCTTGAGGATTTTCTTCCATTATCTGAGTAAAAAACAATTAACATTTTTTTTATTGCTTTGGATGGAAAAAGAAGAGCTAAACACAGTTTAAAAAGCAAGGTGATGAAGTCTTTCCTGATTCCTTGCGAAGCATTTAATCTGCTCATCACACTTACTTGAGATATACTTTTGTTAGGTGAGCTAAAAATGCTAAAGCTGCTGGACACTTGAATCACTCAAGCTCTAATCCTAGTTACTCAGGAAGCTGAGATGTAAATACATGGTTCAAAGTCAGCCCCTGGCAGGGAAGTCCATGAGATTCTTATCTCCAATCAACCACCAGAAAACCAGAAGTAGAGCTGTGGCTCAAAGTGGTGGAGTGCTAGTCTTGACAGACCTCTAGAGGCTCAGGACAGAGGCCAGGACCTGAGTTCAAGCCCACAATGACAAAAAAAAAAAAAAAAAGCTGATTTGAAAGCCAACATGGTGATTTTTTTTTAAGTTAGTTTATTTGAGACCAGCTTAGAGAACATAGCAAGACTATGATCCAGCAAGCAATTTAGGATTTTGAGGCAAGAAAGCACAATTACAGAGTCAGTTCATTTTCAAAAGCCATTTTATATAGAAAAGATTGGGGTAGAAGAGGAGAATGCACCATTTTCTTGCTACATGGGAATATGTAGTTATATTTCACGCATTTACTATAGCCATTTACAGGGCTGTTAATCTCTTTTCCTAAACAAGGAAAGTTAATGATACATAGATTATGATAACAGTTAGAGTAACCTTCCCATTTCAAGTAATATTCGACTTGTAATAAACTCTGCTGATTCCTCTTATGAGGCACATTTCAAATAATTAAGATGGCTCCCTGTTGATAAAAGCTGCTGTTGCTCCCAGCATTTTTTGAGTGTGCAGTACTGACAGCAGAGAGACTGTAATATTCACAGTCCCCCGTAATGGCATCACAGAATATTGCATATCCACTGGCTGCAATTCAACAGAATACTAAAAGCACGATTATAAAGAGAAATAAGTTACCAATTGTGCACTGTTAGCAGTCCATGTTTAATACTGTTTATAAAAAAATTTCAGATTACATTAATTATAAAACCACCTCTTAAGCTGCAGTACACACTTGACTGCAAAATACATTTCTATTTTTAAGGCCCTGCATCATTACATATGAATTGGGTTGAAACTCTGGTTCCTGTAAATAAAAATAAGTATCCTTTACTTTATTGGCTCAAAATAACCTCGGCATATAAAATAATATCGATTTCATGTCTACTACTAAAACATAGCTTTTTCCCCTCACAGTAACTACAAGGCAGCTGCTTTTATCCAATCACCACAACTATGATTGTGCTAGCTGATGTGTATGTATTTTCATATCAAAGAAATAAGCAGAGGAAGGAAAGCAACTCATACATGCAATCAGTGAATAATGCCAAGGCCAGAAACATTTTAACTCCAAATCTGCTGCTTTAATTTCTACAGTGTTTGTTGTTGTTGTTGTTTTTCCGAGAAAGTGTCCATATAAAACATGCACAGGTTTTAATTGTGAAGCCCCTGACAAGTGACAGCTTTCAGAGCTTTGAAGAAAACAGTCCAGTTACACTGCTAAATTTGTTTCGCCTCTAAAATAAGTAAATATCTTCAAAGGCTCTCAGTATAGAGTTCAGAATTCAGGTAGATACAATGTTAACAGTATAGATAGTTAAAAGGAATAGGAACGTCAAATAGGCAATGGGATGAAGGCATTATGGACGGTCCAGTACTGAAATGGGCTTGACACTTTGCTCCAAGGAGAAAATTTAGTAAACTCCAAGACAGCATATGGCAGAGAAAGTCACAGTAGAGGGAAAGGGTTGAGATGCCAAACTTCAGAAGAAAGTTAGAAAGGCAGAAAGAGATTTTGTTTGACTGAGAGTTCAGGTATACAGAATAAAAACTAGAAATTGTGCTGGGACCCTGTGGCTCACGTCTGTAATCCTAGCTATTCAGAAGGCTGAGATTTGAGGAGTGTGGTACAAAGGCAGGAAAGTACGTGAGACTCTTATTTCCAATTGATCAGCAAAAAACCAGAATCTAGTCAGGGCTCAAAGTGGTAGAGCACTTGCTTTGAACAAAAACAGCACCCAGGTCCTGAGTTCAAGTTCTAGAATTCACACTTTTTTTTTAAGGAAAACAAAAAAGGATACAAAATACTCTAAAAATTGTGGAGGTTCTTCTTGATTAGCACTAATTAAATTCTTCAGAAAGATTGCTGCTGCACTTTAGGTCAGTAGTATTTACATATCTATCTCCACAAAATTATATATGATCTGATATTCCCTATTTCTTCCTCTGTGGCTAACTAAAGCAATGATTCTGAGAGACATTTACTCTTCCCCAAAGCAAAGCAGCAGAAAGTAGAGAGGTTTGTGCATAACCTGAAAACTCAAAGCTGTCTATAAGCTCCCTATCATTCCACACACATTAATTTTATGTATAAGCATCTACTTTTCCCATTACAGATAAAATTCTGAAATTTTTTGATAATATTCACTGAATTTTTTGTAGGGGATGTCTGGAATGTTTCTTTGGTCAAAAAGTAGTGGGAGAATCCGTTCATTAAATTTTTGATAGTTATTTCTGAAATAGTTATCAATTCTGGATTGCCTAGTTCTTCAGAGCTAGCGAGATGGCTGAATAAATAAGATTTTTAATTGTTTGATGAGCACTTGTTCTTTTTTGGTTGGGATAATTCACAGACTGTGTACAATTCAGTATTCTGTGGTATGTTCCTGGAGTTGAGAAACCCAGAATACAGTTTGTTTTAGAGAAATATTTTTCACTGCAAGAAGAAATCCCAAGTTCATTCACTGTCAGTCCTCATTTTCCCCCCATTTATCTACTTTGTGGACAAGTACTCATCTACTTTCTGTATCTATAGATTTTCCTAGTCTGGATATTTCACATAAGTTTGTCAATACAATATATTATCTTTTGTGACTGTCTTTTTTCTGTCAACACATTTTTTTTTAAAGTCATTTATATTGTAGGATGAAAGAGAACTTAATTCCCTTTTGTTGCCAAATAATACTCCATTGTATAGACGTTTTATGTTTTCAGTATCTACTCATCTACTGGGAGACATTTTGGCTCTTTTTGATTTCTGACTATCATGAACAATGATGCTACAACATCTCATGCTCACACTTGGTCTGCATTTCTCTTGGCTATGTACACAGAATTTGCTATGTGCACATGTCTGAGGAACAGTCTAAATAGGTTTAACAAGATTGTTCTATCATGGCAAAAGACCCGCATAGGCTTTGTAGTTTTTGTTTTTTATCATGCAACTATAAAATCGGGATTGGTCAGATTTGGAAATAATATTAAGATCACTGAAATCTAGTAACCAAGCCATCTGCCCTAATGTATATAGGAGATACAACGGACAATGTGAACCTAGAGTTTTATAGTTCATTAACACTGAGAAGTGAGAGGAGAAAAAGATGGACCGAACACACACAAAAAAATGGGGGACACTCATGAAGAAAATGTGAACTATTCAGTGTCAGATATGCCAGAGATAGAGAAAATTTTCAAGAGCCTGGTCAATACAACACAGTGCTGTAGCAAAATCCAAAAGGCTATTATGGATTCTGAAAAGAGCCATTCATTTTTTTCTATCTTCAATCCCATTTTTTTCAACCTCTTTCATTTAATTTCTGTTTCATTGT